CTCTCCGTCTCTGCTTCCTCCGCGCGCTGGCGCTGGCGCTTCGCGGATGCTTCCGCCTCCTGTCTGTGCCATTTCCTCATGAACTGTGTGTTGTTTGTGTTTTGTTTTGTTTTTTAAGTTTGAGTTTTGGGACGCAATATGAGTCTACATGTACAAGTGATCCCTCCGGAGTGGGTGAGAGCGCAGTGCCAAAAGGGGTGACGCAAGATGACATTAAGAGTCACAGCTGGCTACCAGCCGGCCGTTGTGAGGGACGTCTCTCAAGCTCAACAGCGGACACACAGTGACGTTACTCTGGCCCGTTTCTGACCAGCAAACCTCAACGAACGGAAAAAGAAAAACAACATTAATCTGCTGCACAGCAGTCTTTTGGTATCACTCAGCTTCAAACCGGACCGGAACACAACGTGCCTACAACTTCACAACCGACCTCCCGTCGAGTTCTCGTCGGGGAGAGAAAAGCGCAAAAACGAGCAAAGACGAGAGGCCTTCCTGACAGTGTACTCTATTTGCCCGTTTTCGCTGCCGACGTGATCGATGCATGCACGGTTGGCCTTCAAACGCAACACGACAATGTTTGCACCAAGCCCGTCAACAAGCTGGGCGACCACACCAAGACACGGGCGCCGGCTGTCGACTGAACACCCACAATATCGATTAGATTTAAATCCAACAATGCACAGAGCAGTTTAACAATCGTCGGACATGTTGCATAACTCCGTTTGAAACCCAACACAGACAACGCAAGTTTCGGCGAGACACGAACACTATGCCACACAATACACATACAATTAGTGAGCACTTATTCAACCCTACTGCAACGTCCGTTCCACTCGTCTCCGTCAGGTCGTTGCTTGACTAAACCACTCATGATCTTAACGGGGTTACATGAATCGTCCGGATGCCCTCTTTGCCTAGCTCTGCCGACAAAATAACACTGACTAGATCAACGTACTGCCGTAACACGATGCGACAGGGACAAAGGAGCCTACAATGGAACACGGTGGAGCAAAAAAACGACAAAATATAAGTAAGTACACGTCGCACGCCCATGGTCCTGCAGGCATCAGCAACGAAAAAAAGTGGTAACCCCACCCTAAGCCTGCACGCTGCCCGCCACCTCGTCAAATCGCATGGACAACAGTAGAACCCACATCATCGTAACCATGCGTCTCGGGAAGGTGCTTCGTCCACAATGGCGAAACAACCTCAAGGGACCACCAACACCCCGAACCCCTCGCGTTTGCTGCTGACGCACCGTAACGCCCACCGTGGTTTTCTAAATGTCCGCAAGAAACTCGTCAAGCCTGCGGTTGACCTCCTCGGGCTGGTCCCTCGTGACCCAGTGCGAGGCCTGGGGTATCCCTTGTGACGAAGAGCCCTCCTTTTCCTGGACTTTCTCCGCCCAACGAGCCGCGTGGAACGTCTAGCAAATAGAAGTAGTTCATTCAGCAGCAGATAAGAACACAACGCAGTTTCGGAACGAGTGGTGTTGGTTGGTGGTGAACAACGACATGAGAACACAAACAAAATCGATTGCTTGGCTTAGAAGCGCACCCAGACGGAAAGCTGCCGTGTGTACTTTGGTGGTTAGATGTGTCAGACGCACATCACAACAACATAAAAATATCGCGAGCACGACAACAAGAAAACAACGCCTTCAATGGGGACTTTGCGAGCATCGGGTCTTTCCAAGCGCATCCATGTGTAGCTCGAACTTTTCACCATATCATGCTGCCACATGCTGCTACTGCTGTCGAGTATGCGAAGCGGTGCCAAGGGGGTGTGCTGTCGTTCATTCATGGGTAAGAACACTGGCGGACGGGGATCGGACACCACGCGGGCGATGTGCACATGAACCGCGCGGGCAGGAACACAGCAACCGACTATCGTGAGACGTGATAAACCAATGACAGGGGCAAACCCATCGAAGGCGTGCAGACGATACGGGCGGTAATCGGTCTCCAACGGATCTGAGGCGACGTCCAATTGATCGCAGAAAAGAAACACACCACAAGCAACTTCAGATGCCTACCAGCCCACCAATGCTGCTACTGCCCGCCTGGGCGTGAAAACAAACACGAGGGATATACCAGAACACGCTCACCATGATCTTCTTCACGCCAGCGGTGCCATGCAGGAACATCAGGGGGCACTTCGGCATCATGGGCCTGACCTTCTCCCCGGAGCAGAGGATGTGCTTCCACGTGTGGTAGTACGGGTAGCAGGTGGAGGCGCGCGCGATGCGGGCCCCCGACGGTGACCCCATCAGCCATGCGAAGGAGCGAGCGATGCCGTCTCCGATCGGGCGCCCCAGGAAGAATGCCGCGCAGAGCCAAAGCTTTTTGAGATTCCAGGAAGAGTTATTGCGTGTTGTGCCCGAGCGTGCGGATGAAAATCATGACCACACGTACGGGGTTGAAGCGGGAATATCAGCAAACAACTACACTACTCATTAGGATGCATAGTAAGCTCAATCATATGTTCGCCTTCCGTCTAGCTTTGGACGGTGCGGCGCGTTCTTCACTGCCCGTGTTTCTACACCAGGCTTGCAGACCCACGCCTTTTTGGAGGGGAAGGGCATGCATTCGGTGTGGCGACGCCGCCGGCAATGCTAATGTGTCAACAGAGCTCTGGCGCACGTTCACAGTACATCACGACAGCCTACTTCCCCGGATGCTACCAAAACCAACAGTGTTTGGCTTTTGTTTTTTTATCCGCTTGAAGAAGAAACGACATTCTTCCGTGTTGTTGTTCCGCAACGCTAACCCCGCCGCCACCCCCGCCGCTGCCGCCGCAGCGGGGGGGAGGGGTGGGGACCAGAGCGTCGCGGGCGCAATGCCGATGGGTCAAGACCTGCGTGCCGTCGAAATTCGTATTCTCTGTCCGTCTATCTGCGTGTCCTTTGTTATCTATGAGTGTGCTGTGCTTCGTTTCATAGACCACAACTAACGCCGATGACTGTCTTGACCGCCAAGCGCGCACCGGTGGTAGGGTCCAGGGTGTCATTTTTACGGTCCCGTGACCACCCGCTGGAGCTCACGTGTCATTCAAAGCTTCCTGCGCTGGGAATGGAGCGCACGCTGCGCGGAGGTCACTTCAGCAAAGGCGGCTTCAAGCTGCCGTCGGAACAGCGTTTGTCCGACGGCAGCTCCAAGACGCCCGCGCCAAGGTGGTTCCCGCTTTGAATGCACACGACCCCTAGCCAGCTGGTGGGCACGGGATCGCCAACCAGGCCCTGGAACAGTGCTTGTCCGGCAGCAGCTCCAAGACGCCTGCGCCAAGGTGGTCGCCGCTGAGAGTGCACACGATCCCTAGCGTGGGATGCTTCACATGAGACACAACCTCGAGCTGGTGGGCACGAGACCGTTAGTCAGGCCCTGGACCCGACCACCAGGAAATGCTACGCGGTCAAGACAGCCATCAGCGTGAGTGTTGGTCGATGGCACGGAGACACGCGAGCAATCCCCCCCCTCCCGCAAGCCGAGGTCTCTCACACGTTGACCCCTCCCTCGTCCAACCACCTCCCGCTGCTGCTGCTGCTGCTGCTGATGGGTGTGTGACAGGCAATATACACACGTCACGCGTCATGCGCATTTTTAACGCTCACAACCAAGGGTTACCTGGTAGGTGACCATCAGCATGGCGCCGCAGATGCTCGGTTTCATCGCCCCTCCGACATCGATGGCAACCATCTTGCGCACCTACAGTTAACAGCAGAAATGCAAGACCCCGCGCGAGTTGGAAATCCGACACCATCGACTGTCAGTACTTCGATGCGATGTAGTATATATCGATGCGATGACATCAAGAAAGTAGTAACCACATTCAATCGCGGATGCCTGTTTGCTATTTTTTGCGAAACGCAAAGGAAGAGGATCACCTCGGGTCTTGACCCTGCCCTCTAACTTAGAGCACCACCTGCTTGTAACCAACAAGGTAACAGAGGGATCCCTCAAAGGGTCGGATACCCCGAACGCACTACCGCTTGTTAACCACGCCACGTGAAAAATGTTTTCGAAGAATTCGACATGCGTCGCACGTTGCTCACCAGATCCGGCCGCTTGGCCTCGAACTTGAACGAGTACATGCAACCGAAGTCGTGGGCGACCAGAATGATGGGCTGCCCATTCCCCACTCTCTCCGCCGTCCTCTCGATCCGCTTCACCACCTCCTCGGTCGAGTAGCCCCACTTCTCGACTCGGGCGTCGTCGCCGCTGAAGCCAGGCAGATCTGTCGTCACACACCTGAAACGATCCTTCAGGTGAGTCACCTGTGCCAAGCATCACACACCATCGTGCAATCACGGAGAAGGGGAGCAAGGACAATCGAAGCATATGTGATCGCCACGCATGATACTCCAAGAGGCGGAAGATCGACTGGAGCTCACTCACATCAGACTTGCCGCCTGTGTCATGAGCAAGAAAAAAAAATCGTACAAACAGGAGAGCAGCGTTCGTTCTCTACATATACACAGTTGTCGCATCCCCGACGACTAACATGCTTCGGAGCCATTCTAGCCAGCATTGGTAGGCACAGTTCGGTACTCCTGATCACGCGAGTTGAAGGTCCCACACCTCCAAAACAAATGTGACTGAAGGGAGACGTGCGACTGCGTGTTACCCGTGTGCGCTCCCATGATGCTTTACCGTATGAGGGCGACATCTGCTCTAGATTGAGAGAGAGCCATCGCCGTGAATTTCTTTTTAGAAAGTAAACTTAATCTCACAGAACGACTACCTGTTCGAGATAACACCTCAGTCGAAAGGGATATGGTGAAGTCTTTTCTGTACAGTGGATTGAAACCGACTGGAGACTTTGTTTATTTTTGAGTTTGTATATGCCCTACACTAAGTTATGAGTGATGCTAGTTGGTGCTAAGGACAAAAGCATCTGTACATGCGGATACATTTTTAATTTTACGTAGAGTATGGGCTTCACAGGGAACATGGCGCATCCTATATGAAGTAGCCGCCGCTGTTTCGGCTTTCCTACATCAGCACGCAGAACTTTATCCTCACTGCTCGCGTAGTTCGCAGCGTATCGACGCGAGACAAAGACCCCCAACCCGCCTGATCATGGCCGTTGTTCGGAGCTATCGTTCGCTGATTTAGATGCCTTGTGGCTCTCATGCTCATGGTTTGAATCATCGCAACTGGGATGTAATGGCCTTGTTCGTCTCTTCCGGGTTGATTTTCGATTTCGATCTTCAACATTTGTTGACAATGACCACCCTCACACACATTCAAGGAAAAGATAAACTTCACATGCTGCGTTGTGAACGACTTTCCTTGTTAAAAATACAGTACATATATTACGACTTAGCAGACCACGCGCTGGCTCGAGGGGGGGGTAGTTTGACCTTGCATACGACTACACGTGCGGTGGACAAGCCAAACCATGGCCAACAAACAGCAGTAGACTGCTGTGTGACTACATGCACAGCAGTATAGCGTACAACGGCTCGCACGTACGACCACGCATCATAGGCACACACATTCACAGGTACTGCTGATGGAGGTGCACACGTTTGTAGCTGACAGAGCTGTGTGTGTGCATCTCTCCCTGTGTGTGCATCTGTATGTAGCTGCGGCAGCCAAAGGGTGAGTGACGTCAACCCAGCAGATCACGCGTAAGAGATTCATCTGCTGTCACCTCCATTTGTGAGCGTACAATGAGTTCCACGACTACCCATGAAAGCACCTGCAGAGAAGACTTTATCTACTGTACTTCTGGTGCTGGTGCACACGTTTGTACTCACAGAAGCTGTGTGCGTATCAATTGCTGTGTGTGTAGCATAGGATCTGCAACTAACTGTT